CTCGTACATCCTGAAGAGCGATTTGTTGACGGAAAACCATGAGCTTAGCTAATGGTAATATATGGGCCTGAACAATTTGAACCGGATTTCGGGGTACATATTGACGCCTATCACTTTTTTTCTTCAGGAACCCTGTGGGACAAACTTAGAGACACTCAGAGTCCCAACAATGACCACACTCAAGGGCGTCATGACTGCATCGCCGGAACAATCATCACCATCATCGATACCTAACAAACAACAAGACCAGCACGCACAGTGACTCTGCGAACCTGGCACTACTTACAAGTGCCGACGATGGCAATGTGTTGCTTATGGGGACGATGCTGCTGCTTTTGAAGATCAGAATTATGAAGATGATGACCACATCACCATCATTACCAGTGATGACACATAGCAGTGTCATTCTGAGGTGCATTGCACATCCAAACGCACACGGAAAAATCGCAATCACACGCCTGCGAACTCTGAAACCTCAACCCGAACTAAATCAGTTCCTAAACCCTGAACTATAGGCCCTAAACCCCCGTACCGTAAACTTTAAATCCTAAATCCGGGCCTTCTTCGGCTCGTGCGAGGTCCGGCGCGAGAAAATGCTCCACCGGGCGGTGGCCTTCCAGTGCGCATTTTGACTGGCGGTCTTTGTTGGCTATAGTTATAACTTAACTAGTTCTTTGCTCTTTTCTGTCAGTTAAAGCACTCTTTGGGGTTTGCAAAGGTTTCCTGTGGGCTGTGCACGTTCATGTTCAGTGCAGCTCTAAGTGCTCTGATGTTTGTGTTTTAAGCGTTCCCGCTTGCGATGTGAACGCGTAGGCCTCCACAGCTTCAGGGACTAATTACGGCTCCGGGCAAAAAGGCTTGAGGAGCTGAGCTTTGAGTATGAGTATCGGTTAGGTACGGCCCCCATACAGTAAGAGTCTATAATGGGGCTACTATTAAGGTCCTACTATATCTATATTATGAAGATTATTCAACTATTACTGAGTGGGGGCCGGACCCAAAGTATCGGGCCGAAGGTTTAAAACGTCTAAGTGGGTCCCAGGGCTTAGGGTACATGAAGTGTACGGGGTTCCGGGTTTCGCAGCTGCCTCTCGATCACAGCGCACATGGCGAGGAAGAGCACCTTTGGGCAATGTGAAGAAGTACACTGAGCACAAACCCTTTAGGATTCAAGATAGGTTCGGCAAGGCATCCCCATCAAGCTCCTGAGAGCTTTGCAAGGCATGCATTGGGCCAGGCCCGGCTGGGGGGGGGGGGGACGGGATTTGCGAGATGTCTGCTTGACGTTATGGTCTTGAAGATCTGCGGGTCTTGGGTTTAGAGGCTTCAGGATCGGGATGTGGGATATGTTGAGAATGTTTCAGACTTTCAGCTTTTGGGGTCCCGAACCGGATAAGGTGGCTGTATGGTAAGCGTCGCTGTAAAACTAGCGAAATGGCCGGCCGCGTGGTGGTAGGGTTTCGGTGGTGGCCGGGGCGGTGGCGGTAGTGGTAGTCGTCGTCGTGGTAGCAGCAGTCCTCGTAGTAGTAGAAGAAGTAGTAGCAAAAGTGGTCGTAGTAGCAGCAGCTGCAGTAGCTGTGTAGTAGTAGCAATAGTATATAGTAGTAGCAGTAGTAGTAGTAGTAGTAGTAGTGGTGGTGGTAGTAGTAGTGGTAAGACGAGGAGGAGGAGGAGGACAAGGAGGACAAGAAGGACAAGGAGGAGGAGTAGGTGACAACACCATTCTGAACCCTAACCTCCCCCCCCACCCCCCACCGGAGGGAGAAGTGTGGATGTCGTGCGCCGACAAAGGGATAACTGCACCAGCGGCGGCATCTGCCACTGAAGCCGCCGGATCGCCTGGGCGAGCCCAAGCTTGTGTTTAGCGTTTGATGTTTAAGGTTTAGGTTCTGCGGCATGAATCAACGGAGAGTACCCCAAACACTAAACTCCGCACCTACGGGCAACTCTAAGCCCCATCTGGAAGCCCCGAAACTCTCAACCCATGCCAAAGCCCCAAACCCCAAGACCCTTACCCATAAAACCCTAAACGGAACCGTTGTAAACATGCCACAGAAAATAACAATGAACAGATACATGACAAACATCGTGATAGCAACCATAACTATATAAGCGAAGAACGAACATAATGATAGCAATAGCAGTCGTAGCGACAGACTGTTACAACAAAAGCAACAGCAATAGTAGTAACAATACTAATTAACGAAAACAATCACGCTGTTGCTGCTGCTGCTGCTACTGCTGCTCCTACTACGAACCATTGTTACTACTACTACTACTACTACTACTACTACTACTACTACTACTACTACCACTACTACCACCACCACCACCACCACCACCACCACCACCACCACTACTACTACTACTACTACTACTACTACTACTACTACTACTACCACTACCACTACCACTACCACTACCACTACTACCACTACGACCACTACTACCACTACTACCACTACCACTACTACTACTACTACTACCACTACTACCACTACTACCACTACTTTACTACCACTACCACTACTACCACTACTACCACTACTACCACTACTACCACTACTACCACTACTACTACTACTACTACTACTACTACTACTACTACTACTACTACTACTACTGCTACTGCTACTGCTACTGCTACTGCTACTGCTACTGCTACTGCTACTGCTACTGCTACTGCTACTGCTACTACTGCTACTACTGCTCCTACTCCTGCTCCTACTCCTGCTCCTACTCCTGCTCCTACTCCTGCTCCTACTCCTACTACTCCTACTCCTCCTACTACTACTACTACTACTACTGCTGCTACTGCTACTACTACTCCAACTACTACGTACTATCTTGCTACATATTATTACGTACCACTTACTACGTACTACTACTGCTCCTACTACTACTACTACTACTACTACCACCACTACACAGCGGCAACTACCACTACCACGACTACCACTGCCAGTACTAAGGAAGACATCTGAAAACATGCGCAGTCTAACCCCTATAGCAGCCCTATCATAATCCGAAACCCTACCTGCAGTCGGTCACCTCATAGGATCCTAACGATAGAATTGGTTTACCAAAAAAGGGAACTACAATGGAGACTGTAGGTAAAACTTAACTGAAAACCAGGGCAAGCTCATAATCCGAAACCAACCCTAATCCCTAAACCCTCAACCCTGAAGTGCCCTAAACCTTAAAAGCCCTAATCCCTAGACCCTCAGCCCTAGATCCTGAAAAACCCTAAACCCTACCTTAGCCCCCAAATAATCTACCTTTTTAGAGACTTAAAGTCGAAATAAGGAACCCCAAAAGGTAGGTTATCCAGGGTTAAGGTAACCCCCCCCCAATATTAACTCAAACTCTAACCAGGGCAGTTCTCTCATACTATATCTATAAGAAGCAACCCCCCACAGTAGTATAGGTATTTTTTTGTATAAGGCCCCTATATTAACTGAAAGCCAGGCCCCTAAATTAAATCCTTATACTAGCCCTGAAAGTATCCCTTACGGACCCCTTTAAGAAGAACTCTTAGAGGAACCCTACTCTAACTATTAAGGCCCCTAAATTAGGACCCTAATATAGTACCCTAAATAGTAGGATCGGACCCCAACATCATAAGGTACCCCTAATATTCGGAAACTCCCATATAAGGCCCCTATATTAACTATAAGCCAGGGCAGAGCTCTCGTGATGATGAAGTTGAAGGATCGGCTCTCTGCGGGCGGCTGGCTCTGGAGAAAGGCCTCGGGTGCGGCGAGAGCTTTGGCTCCGGGTTTAGGGGTTTTCTTTAGGCTTTCAGGGGTTTGGGGTTTTAGGGATTTAGGGTGTTAGGGGTTTGGGGGTTTACGGTTTTCGGATTTTACGGGTTTAGGGCATTTTGGGGGGTTCGAAGCTTTGGGGGTTAGGGGTTTAGGGCTTACGGCTTAGGGTTTTAGCTCTTAGGGGCTCAGGGGTTTAGGGCTTAGGAGCTTGGGGTTCAGGGCTTTAGGGTTCAAGGCTTTAGGAGGGTAGGATTTAGGGTTTCGGGTTTTGGGGTGAGGGTTAAAGGTTTTGGCTTTGAAGCTCATGGCTTGGGATGTAGGATTTGTTGGTTTAGAGCTTGGGGCTTCCGGAAGGTTTCTATAAGGGGGTACGGTCTTGCAATAATGGCATTTTTGTGTGGTTTCTATGAGGGTTTAGGAAACATAAGAGTAAGGGCACTTGGAGGTTGCCGGACGACCCAACACCCTTTCATTCAGGAATATGCCTTAAACCTCCATACGAAGCCCCCCCCATACTTTAGAGTATAATCCCTAAACCCTACACCCTAAACCCTAAACCCTAAACCCTTGGGTTCTCCGGGTCTCGAATGCTGCGGAAGCACAGGCGTCGCGGACCGGGTGGAGGCCAGCCTTGGGTCCCGCAAGGGATCCGGAGGCTAAGAAAAAGGGGCCTAACTTAGGGGGCCTTAATACTTAGAGTAGGGTTCCTCTAAGAGTTCCTTCTTAAAGGGGTCCATAACGGATACTATAAGGGCTAGCATAAGGATTTAATATAGGGGGCCTTAATAATCAGAATAGGGTTTAGGGGCCCATTATACTGTAATTACATTACAGAACCCAAAAATAGTATTGGCAACTGTTTAGGCCCCTATAGTAGACGATTACCAATCCTCTTTTAGGGTTCCCTACTACAAAACTGGTACAGTAAGCTTAGCACACCCAAAACCCTGTTCCAATCATCGAGGTTCCTGTATTGCTGTTGCTTCTTGACTTGGCTCTCGAAGTCGGGAAAGGTGTTCGGTCTCAGAGTTTAGGGTTTCGGGGTGGTTTGGTTTTGCTGCCGACAGAGTTTGGAGCACAATAGTACGGGAAGGCTTCGTAAGGTTCTGGCTAGGGCTAATATAGGGGCGTGAATTGCGGGCTGAATATCTTTCAATAGGGTGTTGGAGGTCCTGAATATAATATTATCATATAGCCACAAGCCCTACAATAATTGTTAAGGGCCCTACATTAGGAGGGTTTGTACCCCCCTCTTCATCCTGCTGTGTGGCGTACCGCATCTGAAACACAGAACCTTATCAACCCTGCTTCAACCCTTCGAACCCTATGAACCCTGCAAATTCCCCCCTGGAGCTGTATAAACTGCATCAACATCCGGCCCAGAAACCACGCTACAGCGCCGGGACGTCTGGCCTCGCCTTTGGCGTCTCCCCAGGACCCTGCAAAGGAATCGCACATAGGAGAAGTTTAGGGTTTAGGGTTTAGACTTTGGGTTCAGGGATGAAAGAAACCATAAATGGCCGACATGTCCAGCAGTCGAGCATGACTGCGATTCCGTGTAGCTTGGGTGATACATGGCAGCAGCAGCGACGTTGTTGTTTGCTGTTGCTGCCGGTACTGTCACCCTTTGGTAACCATAAGCTCTCGCTACTACCAATGCAGGTGCGTTTCTAGTATGTGTTAAGCCAGGGTTCGTTGTTGCTCTCGTTGCTGCCACTATCTGTTATTGGTCTCGATACTCTGTCTTGTGCTGTTGCAAAGGTCCCCGAGCTTGCAGCTACTATTTCCTCGATTTGCAGCTATGGTACCTTCCCCCCGCATCGGACTGCCAGCGTCACTTTGCCACGATGTCTACGAGAGTAGCTCTGCGGCTGCTGATATTGGTGATGTTGCTAGATTTGGGAGTTTCCGAAACTAGGGGACCCTGATATAGCACCCTAAATAGTGGGATCCTGACTGTGTGAGGCCAAATATTTGGTTTTAGGGTATTATTTGCTGATGACACTGGCTGCGAATCTGGCCATTTGTATCAGTGGTTTTAGTGTAGACGATAGAGTCTGGGGTCCACGACCGCTCTGACTTTGGTTATGAGTCTGGTAGACTCGACTCTCTTACAGACTCTCAACAAGGCTCGACAAGACATGTACCTTGAGTTTTAGGGTTTAGGGTTTTGGGGAAAATCTACCTTGAGTCATAAGGGTTATGGGATTCATTCTGTGCTCCCATCAGGATCAGGGCCTGCGCTGCCCCCTTGCTTGCTCGAGTCTTTGCGAGCCTGGGTGTGGAAACCGAGGGCTGGGATGGCTCGAGTCGATGGGGTGTCCCCTAAACCCCATATTGTAGTCTGCTATCGTATATTATTGCAGAAAAGTATATTATAGTACATTATAGTCTGTTTATAGTATAGTTATAGTATATTATATACATAGTATACTATAGTAGGTTATAGTACCTTCTAATGGTGGTTTTCATGTTGACATTGGGCTCCAACATCTTCTTGTACAGGCTGGCGATACTTCCATGTGGAAGCACGGGAAGAAGCTCGTTCCTCCAGTTAGGACCCCATTCTAAATCACCAAAGGATCCCCAAAACGAACCTCTAATCCCCTTCCATCGCTTGACCCTGGCGCCCAAAACCCACAGCCAACAAACCCCTACTGCAAAGCACCAAACCCGAAACTCCCTGAACATAGAACCTTCTGCAGCCATTATTACTACAGAACAAAAACTGTCAGAAGCCAGAGATAGCGCCTCCCCAGATCCCTCACGCAACGACCAAGGATCGACGAAACCCTAAACCCTAAACCCTAAGGTTCGAGCAGCAGTTGCCGGCGGCCAAATAAAGGAGGTTGGCAACGTCGGAGGTCGTCGCCGTCGGCCGGAAGTGGAGGTTAGAACTGAGGTCGACGTGAAACACACCTCGGCCTGGCATGAAAGGGCACCCAGAGAACCCAACACCCCTTTCATTCAAGAATATAACCCGAATCTCAACACGAAGCCCCCCTATAGTCTCTGGTATATTCATACTCCTAAAATCCTAAAATTTCCTAAAATACATCCAGTGGTATTGGGCTCTCTGGGCAGAGGCCCTGATTTGGGTGTTTCTTTAGGGAATCCTCTCAGGAATCTCTGCGGTGTCTGTATAGGTACCGGTGGAAGGGTGTAGGGCTTTAACAATGACACGCACAACGAAACCTAGGGTTTGGGGAGGTTTGGGGCATACTGTACACCGTGTACACCTATAGTATGTTACAGGCACCAGACGGTGCTTCTGTTTCTACGCATTCAGACCGCTGTGCTAAGCGCATTAAGGCTGCTGGGTTTAGGGTCTGATCGAGCTTTGGAAGTTATAGGTTTCAGGGTTTTTTTGGCTTCAGGGTCTAGGTTTTCCGGCGCCGAAAATCCCAACTAACAGAACAAGAAAGATGCATGCATGTAGATCGTCATCTAGAACCTCCCCGAAGGGGGATGGTGAGCTCACATCACAGCTGCTTTTCTTGGAATGCCAAGTGCAAAGAACGGTTGGATCCTGTAGTTACTTATCTCGATGAAAGCGCGCTAGGTGTAGGGAATATGAAACTGTGCTTTGCATGCTGCTGATGGTGCTGCTCCTGCTACCGCTGCAGCTGTAACGGGCTCTGGGCAACATCTAATTCTCAAAGGCACCTGCTGCTCCGGGGATGGAAACGTAGTGCCAGACAGTACCACGCACAAGTCCAGAGCCTGAAGCCCCAAACCTACGAAGCGTTGCCTGCCTCTGGATTGATCCCGTCTTCTGCTGCTGGGATAATTGCCTTCATGGCAGCCGCGCTGGCGGATCTGAACCTAACAAGGCCTCTGAAGTATGTTCAATCGTCTTGTCAGCTCTGGCCGATACTGCACAGATCCGGGGTCTGCAACTGCTCCGTGGCACGCCCTGGATAAGGCACTTTCAGGAAATCAAGGACCCTTCTCATCTAGACTTCATATAGCCGGATGCTTACGTGTTCGAGCCCCAAATACAACTGTTATGCCAGTTACGCGAAACCCCACATGGCCTTGGCTTGCTGGGTTGGTCTTGCTTGGATGCACTTGCGCAGCAGGGTTTGGTTGGCGACTTTCGCACAGAAGCCGAGCCAACGATATCTTGAGCTCAACACCTATCGCAGCACCTGTACATCCACCCTAAAGCTTGAACTTAACCGTCAGCCCTAAGCCCTAAATCAACCCTAAACCCTAGCTCTATGCCATAAAGCCCTGAACCTTGAGACTGAGAACACCTTGTAACCAAACCCTGCGCTGGCTAAAGGGCTACCGCAAATCCCATGCCGGTAGCCTAAGAGCCGAAGAAGCGAGGCCGGCAATCCTTAAGGTGTAGGCAGTGTAGGCTTTAGGGCTTGTGTTTAGGGTTAAGGGTATAGGGACCCTAAACCCTAAACCGGCCTTAAAAGGGCCTTAGAGGGAAGGGTCTGCCGAAAGTTCGTTTACGCGGGTCTTGGCGAGGGATCTTGCTACGCTACTTGTTGTAACAAGGATAGAGAATAAGTATCGTATTACGCGTATTCATACTGCAGTAGCTGGGCTGTATATATATATAATGTAATGAATGCTCATCCCACTACTCGGTTCCCCGAAAGCCCGTGAATACTGCGGGTACCCTTTTTCTACTATTCGGTTTCAAGTATCACTAAGACGACCCCAAAACGAAAGAAATGCAAAAGGGTACGACTTGGAGACCTAGCCCAACAGAAGCAAAGGTTCTTGCCCTGTGACCCCGACTTGTCTGTAAGGTGTAGGGACACGTTGATGGGATAAGCCCCTTAAGGGTGTTTTTAGGTTTTAGGGCTTTTGTGTTTATAGTTTAGGGTTCTGGGATGTTGAAGGTATAGGGTTGAGGGCTTAGCACTTACATGTAGCGGATAGGAATGAACTGCAAGCCGAGGTTGCAGATGGCGAATAATCCCAAACGGTGATGCAATTAAAACTTGACGATGATAGGACCCAGCAAAGAAGAACGCGAATAGCCTAAAACCCAATGAAGCATTACCCAGAGGCCCCAAAGTAGTTCCTTTTGGGGATTACCAAAAAGGAACTAATTTAGGGCCTTAGGGTAAACTCAACAAATCAAAGTGTATTCCCCATCTACAATCAGGGGGTCTTTGGCTCGAGAAGGTCTGGCCAAAGCTGCTACGACTGCTCCTTGCTCAAGCCACCGATGGAACAGGGACCAGCTGCACAGACAAGATGCCAAGCTCCCTTGGGAAGGGCTAGGATCCTTGTTGACTGTTCATGAACTGGGCCTCTAATCGTGCTCACTCACTGCCAGGTCGAAGACGGCCTGCCCGGCCAAAGTCGAAGCCTGAGTCACAGTTACCGCGAGTCCTCCAAGAGTCGTACTGCTTGCCTGCAACTTTCCTTTTCCTTACCTCTCACGTAGCTCAAGGTGATGTAATACTTGGCCACCTCCAAGGGGGTCTTTGCCTCCACGTTGGTAAGTTCTTTGTTTGCGCCTAGAGCCAAGAGCTCTTCGATGGCCGCGTTGTGATCGTGCTGGCAATCCTCTGGGTTCTCGTTAGCGGATTCACGTTAAGTTACCATAATAAAGAAGCCATACTATTTACAGTAGGTCCCTATTATGGTAACTTAAACCTTATACCCTATACCCTTCAAGGAACCCTGATAGATCCCTTAGAACTACATTCCTTTCCTCTGCAGCGAAGTACAGCGGCGTCTGTCCCGAGCCACTGCGCGTGTTGACATCGAGGCCGAGAAGTACTAGCGCCTTCGACAGGTCAACTAATATGGGGGCCTTAATCATTAGAATAGGGTTCCCTTTAAAGGGATCCTTAAAAAGGGGTCTATAAGGGATCTATAGTAGGGTTCTATGATATAGGGGCCTTAATGATGAGAATAGGGTTTGGGGGTCCGTGATACTATAGTTATACTAAGGAGCCCACAAAATAGTATAGGTATTTATTCAGGCCCCTATATTACACTACTATTAAGGTTACCACGATCACTATTCTGATTAGTATTGGTACGGCTACCACTTCATGGTGTTATTAGCCTTGCTACTGAGATTTAAGAGGCATGAAGTTCAACAGTTCCATATCCATTCTAACGGGGGGATTCTTTTTCGACAATCGATGTTTGTGTGGCTCTTTCGTCCCGAACCTTTAGCGCCAGCTTGCCCTGGAAGGCATAGGCCGAGGCATCATGGAGCAGTGTGAGGCCCAGCGTGCCACGCTCTTCAACGGCTTCGGCGAGCGGCAACTGCCGTAGGTTCCCATAGGAAAACTTAACTTCATCCATCAGAACCCCAAGCTGCTGCAAGGCTTGGAAAGCCTCGACGCTTTTAGCCTTTTTCAAGGCTTGATCCACAGTCATGTCCTTCAGACCTTTGATTTCGTTAATGTCTGCCACAGACGGCTTGAACCACCCCGACCACTGTGTCGAATCCTTCTGGTTGCCGTCTTTGCGCACTGCTTCGGCCAGTATCACCGTCTGTGCCAGCACCACTAAGAATTGCATCATGGCTTTGACAGACGAACGATTGGGACGACACCCTGGATGCATTGAGCCCAAAACGGCATGAGATCTGTGTTGCGCAGAAGCTAACATCTCATGGAGTACATTGGGGTAGGCCACACTTCACCAAGAGTGGGTTTCGCATAAAATAGAAGGGCCCTACTATAACGAGCAGTGTCCCTTATGGTCAGTGATAGTGGGTTGCATGGTAACAGCCACTCACACCTCCATTACTCGCACCCTACAGCCTTAATTCTAAGCCGGGTGCTTTGGTCTTTGGATGTCCCTTTAAAGGGGTCTATAAGGGTACTATGATATAGGGGCCGTTTTAATAATTAGAACAAGGTTCCTTTAAAGGGTTCCTTCAAAAGGGTTCTATGCTTGGGCTCGAAATTTGGATGCAACAGCGAAAAAGCGAGACGAAAAATGATCGTACCGATAGTCGTAGCAACAGCAGCATTGACGGTGTTGAAACCAACGACGACTACTCTCAATGAGGCTAAACTTAACCTCATGACAATAGCAGTGTCGGCAATACGAAGCCTGACCACAACAACAGCAGCCACAGTAACAATAGCAATAGCAAGAACAGCGACACGAACAAGAGGGCTGCAAGACACATTATGTAACACTTTCCGCGGCAGCAGGTGCAACTATGACAAGACCAAAAGCATAACTTTTCGTAGCAGCAACACAGGGAGTATCGATGCTGCTGGCTTTCCATCGGGCCTCATGCATCAGGTAAACCACTCTAAACCAGGGTGCGGTGATGCCTAATGGGAAGGTGGATTGGGTGGAATGGGCCGAGAACCGATACAATTTAGCGTTCAAGTTTAGCCTAGGAGTGATTGGAGTGATCCGCTTCGAGCTGGGTGGGTACATAGAGCAAACTTCAGCAGTTTTCAAGCCGTCAACCCGACATCTGGCTTTTGGCACAAGATGCCAAGCTCCCTTGGGAAGGGCTAGGATCCTTGTTGACTGTTCATGAACTGGGCCTCTAATCGTGCTCACTCACTGCCAGGTCGAAGACGGCCTGCCCGGCCAAAGTCGAAGCCTGAGTCACAGTTACCGCGAGTCCTCCAAGAGTCGTACTGCTTGCCTGCAACTTTCCTTTTCCTTACCTCTCACGTAGCTCAAGGTGATGTAATACTTGGCCACCTCCAAGGGGGTCTTTGCCTCCACGTTGGTAAGTTCTTTGTTTGCGCCTAGAGCCAAGAGCTCTTCGATGGCCGCGTTGTGATCGTGCTGGCAATCCTCTGGGTTCTCGTTAGCGGATTCACGTTAAGTTACCATAATAAAGAAGCCATACTATTTACAGTAGGTCCCTATTATGGTAACTTAAACCTTATACCCTATACCCTTCAAGGAACCCTGATAGATCCCTTAGAACTACATTCCTTTCCTCTGCAGCGAAGTACAGCGGCGTCTGTCCCGAGCCACTGCGCGTGTTGACATCGAGGCCGAGAAGTACTAGCGCCTTCGACAGGTCAACTAATATGGGGGCCTTAATCATTAGAATAGGGTTCCCTTTAAAGGGATCCTTAAAAAGGGGTCTATAAGGGATCTATAGTAGGGTTCTATGATATAGGGGCCTTAATGATGAGAATAGGGTTTGGGGGTCCGTGATACTATAGTTATACTAAGGAGCCCACAAAATAGTATAGGTATTTATTCAGGCCCCTATATTACACTACTATTAAGGTTACCACGATCACTATTCTGATTAGTATTGGTACGGCTACCACTTCATGGTGTTATTAGCCTTGCTACTGAGATTTAAGAGGCATGAAGTTCAACAGTTCCATATCCATTCTAACGGGGGGATTCTTTTTCGACAATCGATGTTTGTGTGGCTCTTTCGTCCCGAACCTTTAGCGCCAGCTTGCCCTGGAAGGCATAGGCCGAGGCATCATGGAGCAGTGTGAGGCCCAGCGTGCCACGCTCTTCAACGGCTTCGGCGAGCGGCAACTGCCGTAGGTTCCCATAGGAAAACTTAACTTCATCCATCAGAACCCCAAGCTGCTGCAAGGCTTGGAAAGCCTCGACGCTTTTAGCCTTTTTCAAGGCTTGATCCACAGTCATGTCCTTCAGACCTTTGATTTCGTTAATGTCTGCCACAGACGGCTTGAACCACCCCGACCACTGTGTCGAATCCTTCTGGTTGCCGTCTTTGCGCACTGCTTCGGCCAGTATCACCGTCTGTGCCAGCACCACTAAGAATTGCATCATGGCTTTGACAGACGAACGATTGGGACGACACCCTGGATGCATTGAGCCCAAAACGGCATGAGATCTGTGTTGCGCAGAAGCTAACATCTCATGGAGTACATTGGGGTAGGCCACACTTCACCAAGAGTGGGTTTCGCATAAAATAGAAGGGCCCTACTATAACGAGCAGTGTCCCTTATGGTCAGTGATAGTGGGTTGCATGGTAACAGCCACTCACACCTCCATTACTCGCACCCTACAGCCTTAATTCTAAGCCGGGTGCTTTGGTCTTTGGATGTCCCTTTAAAGGGGTCTATAAGGGTACTATGATATAGGGGCCGTTTTAATAATTAGAACAAGGTTCCTTTAAAGGGTTCCTTCAAAAGGGTTCTATGCTTGGGCTCGAAATTTGGATGCAACAGCGAAAAAGCGAGACGAAAAATGATCGTACCGATAGTCGTAGCAACAGCAGCATTGACGGTGTTGAAACCAACGACGACTACTCTCAATGAGGCTAAACTTAACCTCATGACAATAGCAGTGTCGGCAATACGAAGCCTGACCACAACAACAGCAGCCACAGTAACAATAGCAATAGCAAGAACAGCGACACGAACAAGAGGGCTGCAAGACACATTATGTAACACTTTCCGCGGCAGCAGGTGCAACTATGACAAGACCAAAAGCATAACTTTTCGTAGCAGCAACACAGGGAGTATCGATGCTGCTGGCTTTCCATCGGGCCTCATGCATCAGGTAAACCACTCTAAACCATTGTGCGGTGATGCCTAATGGGAAGGTGGATTGGGTGGAATGGGCCGAGAACCGATACAATTTAGCGTTCAAGTTTAGCCTAGGAGTGATTGGAGTGATCCGCTTCGAGCTGGGTGGGTACATAGAGCAAACTTCAGCAGTTTTCAAGCCGTCAACCCGACATCTGGCTTTTGGCTGTAATGAGGTAACTGAACCAGGAACATTTAATTCTTGACACATGAACATCCACGGATACAGTTCGATGTTCGATGATGTTTTGCTCTCCGAGCTCTGCACGGGACTGGGTGCAGCAGGCAGTCGAGATAGTGACACTGTGGATCACCGGGCAGAAGCGAACTATAGAAGCCTAACTGCTTAAAATAAAGCATTGGGCTCCGAACATGTTCTGGGGCGCGCTAGGGGATACAAGTGCATATGGATAAACATGGATAAATTTTTCTCCCACGTACATAACAACCATGAGGTTTTCTGAGAAGAATGGGGCGGTACATTAATGAGCAAAACAGCCCAGGCTTTCCACAGCGTCTCACTCATCCCAGTCATCAGCACGAATACTAGGCATAATGGAGTCAAATTAGTAATAAAACATGTTCGAAATAAAAACAGTACTACGCATCATGATAATCATACTGCCACTCATGATGTCCATGGTGACAGCATGTCAAACAGAGCTAGGAATGCAGCAGGTATTCAACAATCCAACGAACTTGGTTCAGCGTCATCCTAAACCCACAGCGGCTCACGAAACGAGCGTCAAATCCCAAGTGCCAGCCTTGATCTTGTCCTGCGCTTTGAGGTTTGGGGCGCGTTGGAATTTAGGCGCTTGGGTGCAACTCGAATTTAGAGTTTCGTGCTTCATTGGAGTTTAAGGTGTGGGGTGCAACTGAGGTTTCGGGAATTTAGTTGAAAGATTTTAAAGTGTATAGGCAATGACGGGAGTTTCTGGTTGCGGCAATGAGAGTGATGTTCGCAACGTCGACTCCCACGGTTTGGTTTATTTCATCTCAGGGAAACAATAAGTAGAAGAGACCCATGTGCATACTTTGGTCGCAAGAAAAATATGTTTTTTACCTGATTATGCCCATGAATCCGTACCTGTTCTCCTGTGGCCCCCGTGGCTTTGGCACCTTGCGATTCCCCCTGCAGTCCCTACCTTCCTACAACCCTGCTGCCCCTAGGCCCGAACTTCTGATGCGTTACAATTACAGATAGGCGCCTGCCTGGTGGTGTGTTCAAAACTGACACAATCCTCCTTGTCCCTTCGGAGTTCTCCTTTTCTTATACGTTGTTTTAGCATTGTTTATTTGCAGAGATGTACCATAAAAACATGCATGGGCAAATCTTATCCATTAAATGCCATACATATACTTGCAACAGTAGCAGCAGCAGCAGCAGTAGCAGCAGCAGCAATAGTGACTCGATCGTGGCAATCGTGACAACAACAACGTAATTAAGAACATTCATACGCATGGCATTCTGGTGCAACCCCATGTTCTTTTTCAAAAGCGGCTACGCCGAAATATGCTGGCGTTGTCTACACAATTCGACGGACAGCACTCGTTTGAAAATGGTAATAGTCTTACTGGGTGGAAAACAGGAAAGCCAACACAGCAGAAGGTAGCAAAGGATCAAACAACAGTTAAACAACAGGACCAAGAAAGCCCAAAAAATCACAAACACAACAATGACAAATCAGAAGCAGCTGAAAGCAGAGACAAGCTGACAAGCAAAAAGCAACAGCGGCAAAGGTCAGGAAAGGGCGTGGGGCAAAACGGAAAGCCCAAGCTATGCATGAAACGTGGCTGGAGGCAGAAAGCGGAGAAACAGAAAGCAGAAGCAGCAGAGCGCAAGATGCACTATCCAAGGAAGGAACGAAAGCAACACACAAGGCGTTAATCAATAAACTGAGGGGTGAAGCACTGACAGCACAAGCAACAAGCAAAATGGAGAATTGGAAAAAACAAAAAATTGCAAGATGTGTTGAAAATCTATGCACATCCGCACACCTGCGCCAGCAGCAGCTCTCAATCCTGTTCCGACGAGGCTCCGAGGTCCGCGGGGGCCAGCCATGATTGCTGTAAAAGAAAAACAAATGAGCTTAAGATCCCGGTGCTCCTAGATCTAGAAGCCCGTCCAAGCACTGCGACGCCGAGGGACGGCTTGCCAATGGATGTACCACCAGTCATCGCCGCACGCGTCCATACCCTATGAGAGAACCTGCATTTTTCTTGCAAGCGCTGCTCATGCTGCTGCATCACGAGGCCCAAGCATGAGCTACGAGCCGAGAGAACGGGTCCGGAAAGCGACTCGGCTTCTACCCTGACGAGGTCAGCACCCGATCTTAATATCCCGGCCACGAAGTCTACACGATGCAAAACAATCCAACTGTGAGGCCTTGTGTTGAACAGGTTTGATGTGGGGCCATCCTGCGATGGCCGGATGCAAACAACAATCGAATAGGTGACCTCGAAGACCTTGTATCGAGGCAACACATGATGCGATGCATCTTGCTCGTGGTCGAGAATCACGCACCCGGAGGAAAATACTTTGGCAATGCTTCTGAAGATAATCAGGGCGCAGAAGCTTGCTAAACCCGGCTTATTTCGAGATTTAGCTGTTGCTGCTGTTGTTGCTGCTGCTGTTGTTGATGCTCTTGGTGCTGCTTGGCTCCAATGTTCGTAAACGCGCGAAGACGGACATGCCGTGTGTATTAAGTTTTACAGCACATTTGACATGTAATGTTTTGGATAGTCGCACCCCCACCCCTATCGGAGATAGAAACGAAAGTCTAGCTACGCTAGCTTTCGTGATGTGGCTATGAAAAATTAAAAAGTAATGCATCGGCTTCCTTACTAAAATCATTATTAAAATTGGGATCGCCTCGGAATACTGAACTTGCTGAGAATATTCGATGTATCATGCCTTCTCGATTGCGATGCCCTCAACCAGCAGACCTACGGGTTTTTAATGAATATCAAACCCTACTTCGGAACCGGCGGACCAGAACTCAAAGTCAAGAATATGTATCTAAATGAATTTCATGGTATTCCCCGATCTGTTCCTGCCCGCTGCATTTTAACACCTGGGTAGTAAGCCCGTTCGTTGCGACCAGACATACCTGTGACGAAAGGAGCCTAAAACCCCCATCCCGAACACGCAAACTCCTGAATCTGCAAACAGTTAGGAACAGACCGACGCAAGTAGGGGCCCCAAACTGAACATACTATAGGGGTCTGAATGATTGGTTGATTAGTAACCACATCCTCTTGTAGTCCTTCTAGTAGGGATATGGTATCACGGAAAAGACTTTCCGTAATCCCGCCAATCAGACATTGGAGCCTTCTGATTGCGTGCTTTAGCTTCTGAGTCCCCAGAAGCCCAGGTTTGTCGGGTGAAACAAACCGCCAGTCGCGGCGCGCTGAGTTCCCCACACTCTTATGAAAAAAAATAAACGCGACCTCAGTTTTGACGCGACGGCATCGAAGATATCGAAGCAAATTTCTGAGGATCTAGCTAGATGCGAACATTGCCAACTGCGGGGAATGCGTGTGCCGTTCGAGGCTTGAACTTCTCAAAGGGCTGCATCAGAAAATCAAGTAACAACAGGCACCAACAGGCTATCTAGGGTGGAGGTCCCTGCTGCGGCCGGGGCCTCCTGTAACGTAAGTAGCATAACCAGTGCATGTTTGATAATGTTGGTTCGAATGTTTAGGGTTTGGGGAGGGCTTGGGGAATATTCTGGAACCCCATCATCTGGCAGTTGAAAAATTTACGGGACACAGCTCCCATACACAAAGCCCTCCAAAGCCGGAGCTTTTTCTCGGAACCCAGACAGTCCTTATCCCGGTACGGCCCGCTCCAAAACGGCATCCCTTGAAAACCTCCACTTCATGTCCACTAAAGAAATAGCTTTCAGAGGCCCCAACGTCCTGAAGTAGCTCAAAACTCCATTTGCGGCACTCAAATCTACACGACAACGCTCGGCAAAACAAAGGCCGCATGCCGTTTGGAGGGATGTTATTGTCTTAAGGGCTTGCAGAGGGGTCGGACGAAGGTTTTACAAGGGTTGTAAAAACTCTCACACGGTTTTTAAAAGAGTTGGAAAAGGGTTGACATTCAGAAGCCCGATCAGGTGGAATCATTCGGTTCTTTAGGGGCTGAGCACCCCAGCCCCCCAAAAAGTTAACCTGTTGAATTATGCTGGGGTTATACAAGCCCGAAAAGGTTAAAGGTGACTTCCTCAG